TGCTTGAAATCCCGACTATATCGAAATCCTGACAGTGTCTTTTATTATTATAAATTTTTACAATAACATTTTTATGGTAGTCGGGATTTCAAGCGTCGGGACTTTAATACAGTCGGGATTTCAATAGACTGTCTTTCGGTTGTCGGGCTAGCGATATAGACCCGTATGAAATATATAATTACAAATTAATAATTAATTTAAACTAATTAACAGACTTGTAGCATAGGCAAACCAAGTTGCAATAACATACTAAGAAAGTATAATTATAGAATTGTTGAAGTTGAAAACTAAAACTTTTGAAATATTAATAATTAATTAATTATGTATTTCAATTTTAATTAAGTATAAGTAATGAAAAATAATTATGTTTTATTTTTGACAAATTATATAATTGAATTTTTTTTAATTGTATTGAAATCATAATTAAATTAAGAGATTTATCATTATTATTTGTATTATTGATTATTTTAATTAAATAAAACTATTGAATAATAATTCAAACGTGTTTGAATGCTAATTTAAATATCGGTGTTTTTAACGTAGGCAATCCAAAGTACATGCATTTCCTGCTTATGCAATAGTCGTTACACGCAGTAGGCCAATTGTTGTACACGCTATTACCTGGTTGCATACATAGAACTAGGGGAATCCCAAAAATATGTATTTTCTTATTAAGTTGATACAAATTCAAAAAAATTAAAATTATCATTTACGTGTAAAAATAGTGATTTATTTATTTATCTAAATGAAAACTGTTTAAATGATTTGCATTAATAATTTAACTTATTGTCTGTCGGTTTGCACCTGGAGAAACCGTTAAACTCAGAACGACACGTGGCCGGCTTTGTTGGTATAAGGACACGCGCTTTCGGTCACCCCTCGTCGCTTCCACCCCTTGATACTCCCCTAACTTTATTATTAAAAGGACACCACCGGTTCTCTATATTTTTTTTTATTGATGTAATTTTTGTGAAGCTTTGTATTAATGGAGAGTTGAGTTCCGCACAAAATTGCGGTACCGACGCGTATCCTTCTGGATTTGCGCAGCGCGGTCTGACGCAACGCGACAATCCTCCTACGTCAGTTCAAGGGAAGAATCCCAAGCCAACTGGAAGAGTTTGATGATGATGGCTTTTGGAATTGTATCAGTATGGAGGGTTTTCATTTCTAATGAAAACTATGGGAAATGTTGATGAGATTACACTTCTTTATGCATGAATCCAACAGGAAATTTGAAGAGCAAACCTTTACTAGTCCTGAATAAACCAATAGACAATATCTATCAAGTAAACGTCTTCAGTGGAATTCCTGAAGCTCCCCAAGTATTTAGATTATAAATGACTGAAAAGCGATACAAATATGGAAGCAAATTTACTAGTGTGTCCTTATCAGGAGATGCTACAGATTCCCGAAAGATTTGTTAAGATCAAAGAGGTATCAACAGCTAAATCCGAGTACAAAGATGAACTTCAAATACGAATTCAGTTGTTAAGAGTTAAATTGATAATAAAGTATTATTTTTTCGTTTATTTTTGTTTAATTGAGTCTGCGGCTTTCTGAAACCAGTTCTTTTCCATGTACTTATTATTCGGTGCTTCCGTTCGCTACGCGGGAGCACCATAAATCATCCATTAGGAAGAGAGACACAGAGGAGTGCTTGAAACGCAAAGCCGTTTCGAAATCCGAAGACTAAACTTTTGTGAAATGCCTTTTCGAGACGACACCCACCCGAAAAATTCCGTTCGGTATTCGGATCGTTGCATTGTGCCGTATGTACCTGACCGCAGGGGTCCAGGCAAAATGCTGGCGGGTCACACCGGGGTCACGGTCGACCTCGGACGAAGAAGTACAGCAAAGAACAACAACAACAACAAGAAAAAAATAAATTTAAAAATAAATGCAACATAATGGTCATGTAATAAAGGAAGAAAGGACACGGACAAAGGATTGAGAATGCGTTCTTGTTGTTGTTGTTGCTTGGCAACAAGCAATATTGCGGTGTGATCGTATTTGGGAGCATTTCCGTTTCGGATTTGTATAACAAATTTGGCGGTGTGCGACAATTTGAATCGCGAAAAAGATGCAGATTTTGCGGAGAGGCAGCGCTTTTTCGTCCTTGGAATCGAATTCCGCTTTTAGCAGCAACGCTCGGAAAGAAAAAGAAAAAAATATATATATATAAAATGAGTACTGGAGGAATTAGAACCAGATTCAGATGGAAGGTAAGTGCACGACCGTTTTATTGTGTCTCGCGACTCGAGTTGACTTTTCTCATTACGTCCACTTTGCAGAATCAACTATTTTCATCTCTCTCTCTGTGTTTCTCCTGTTTCTACCTATATCATCGGATAAGACACCTTCGATAAATAAGTATGATGCCTACCATTGCAATCGACGTAATTTATGAAAGGCGCTTGCTTTGATTTGCTTGTTTTGATGGGTCCGGGCCGTAAAGATTTAATGGCGGCGATAAACAAATGAGATATAGGGAAGAACGGCCCACGTGACATCATTTGTCTCCTTTACGTTAAATTGAATTTCACTAATAATAATTAAATTTTTATAATTTGAAATTCTAACCATTAGAAAATGACAAATTTTATACTTGTCCAAAAAAAAAGACAGTTTTAAATAATACTTTCGCTAATAATTATTCAGTAGCTTTTAAATATATATTTTTTTTTAATTATTTAACAAGGAAGTTGCGAAAATCTTTGTCGTAGGAAATATTTTAACGCGCGGATTATAATAAAATGCGATGATAAATAATGAAGTCTATAGTCCTGAGTCACTCAGTTTCCTGCAATTATAATTACTTCACGATCCGCAAATAGCCGAAGATTTGCTTCGAGCAATTCCAAGAAGTTTTGCCGCTGTCGCCGTTGTTTTTGTTGTTGTTGTTGTTACCTCAACATATTTGGCCGATTTAAATATGCGCGTTGCTTAGCAACAGGGAAATCCATCGATCGAGAGCTTAAGAGTTTCTGGAAGTCATTACTCTTTCGCGTTGTTCTTGGGATTCCAAATTTTACTGACGTCACGGATTACGCTCATTTCTCAAATAATGTTTTGTTTGCATTGGTTTTAAAAAGAAAGAGAGAATGGGATCATCTTGAATTTTTTTTCTTATTCTTTTGGCTACAGGCAAGGTAATGTTGGGTTTCTTATTCTTAATCTTCATTTTCTACTTCTTTTGGTGAAGTGAGGCGAAGAAGAAGAGGAGGAGGACTCTCGATTACAGAAAACGCGCGCGCAGACTTCTTGGTCGGAGCAAGGTGAGTTGGCCGAGTATGTGTGTGTATGTTGGCTTTGGAATTCCAACAAATTATTTGATTACTCATGCATTTTATTTTCATTTCAACTCGTTCCATTAATCTTCGAATAATGCAAGCGTACTCTACTACTCTGCACGGTAGATGATATCTGGTGGTCGGAATTTTAAGAATTGTGACTTTGAGAATTCTGCTCGGTCTGCGGTCTCTCCTCTCCACCATCCGATCCGTTCTTCATCTCCATCTCCTCGGGGTCCCAACCAACATCCATCCACCAGCATCCATTGGCTTTCTTCTTCTTCTATGCTACATGCACAACACGCACACACGTGATGAGCGAGATCAGAAAGCGAACCGGAGCGAGCGAGATGAAGACAGATATTTTGCGGCTTCGAGATGACTCTTTCATTTGTATTCCATTTCATAAATTAAATCAGGTCTGGTTTTAAACTTCTCTCCTTCTCATCTCTCGCGTTTACTCCATTTTCAACATCGCTTTTATGCACAAGATCTTTCCTATTCACTTACTTTTCTTCTCTATTCACTTCTATACAACAACAATAACGAATGATATTCTATCAAAAACGACTACATATTCCAATATATTTTGTCTTAATGAAAGCAGACAATTATTCCTGAGGCGTTGATATAGTTTTTTTCCTCTTCACCTTGTAGACATGTACCGTACTAATTATAATAACTCCAGATTTATTTTCTTGTAATTGTGGGATAATTACTGACATCCATAAGAACGAGGAGAAGAAATGGTTGCTCCTTTCGTATAATTTTAATTACATAATTGTCTACACTCCCAGACCCCATTTCTACGCGATATCAATCCATACAATAAGTATATTTGATTCTTCATACAGAACCATCACGTTTGGTAAACTAAGAACTAACCATAACTTATTACCAATAATTTAACTTTAACGATAAATAAATAGCACTTGTTTTGAAACACTTCTATACACCGGAAAATAAGGATGTTCCGACCGGTAAGTTTCGTGTATGTTATTAAATTTTCTTACAATTTCAAAATATGATTTCTCGAAGGTCTCAAGTTACGTTTAGGTAAATTTGGCAATTAACGCACCTTGGATTTTTGTTCGAATACTATGATTTGATACATTAACAACAGCAAAGTAACAATTTTACGGTAGATGCGTTTTTTTATTTGGATATAACCAATTAAGCTTCGAATTGATTCAAATAATATACAATTAATAATTTTCGATTATTTATGCTTGAAAAGTTACAAAATTAAATGTTTGTTAAGTAA